TGTTGTTTTCTTACAGCAGTCAAAGACACAGAATAGACTCTGTATTGAAGGCAGAATATTTCCTAGATAAATTTGGTGAAGAACTAGGATTGCAAAAGGAAGAGGTAGAAGAAGAGGAGGTGGAAGAAAAAGAGGAGGAAATGGAAGAGGAAGAAGTTAAAGAAGGAAAAGAGAATATTGAACAAGAAACTAGTAAAGGGAAAGGAACTATCCCGAAAAGAAATAAAACTAAACCAAACAAAACAGCTTACCAAATTTTAACCAGATTTAAATACAGAAGCAGAGGGGAAAAACACTAAGTAACTAAGATGATACCATCTAAAAAATTTAATATATCTATAAATATAAATGGTTTAAACAGCCCGCAGAAAAGAAGAAAAACATTTCATCAACTGCAAAAAATAAAAGCAGATTTTGTTTGTTTACAGGAAACACATTAAAAAGAAAGATGTGAAATATTTAGAATCTAAGAAGTTAGGTATAGCTTTTATAGCAGCAGCAGAGGAAAAGAAATGGGGGTTGTGATATATGTAAAAGAAGCATTAAGTCCAGAGTTTGTATACAGTTCAGAAGATGGTAGCTATTACAGTTGTAAGAAATTGCAAAAATGTTAATAGTTAATATATATGCACCTAACCAAAACCAAAGCCCAAAAAACTTTTTTCAAGAAGTGTTAACAGTGCTAAATTTAGTAGAAACAAATAATATCTATATTATAGGAGACTACAATTCAGTTTTAGACCCGCTAATGGATAGAAAGCAAGCTAAGAAAGGACATAAAATAGGTAATGTAATACCGAACAGTTTTAGGCATATAGTGGAGGAATGTAATTTAATGGAAGATTGGAGAACTAGAAATGCACAAAAGAGAGACTACACCTACTACTCTGCACGTCACAACTCTTGGTCGAGGATTGATATGATCTGGATATCAACTACTATGATAAGGGAACTGATTGAGTGTGAAATATTACCGAATACGTTTGCAGACCATAATCCTATTATTCTCGCCTTAAAAGAGAAATATAAGAAAAATAGATGTTTAATGAATCTAAGATTACTTAGAGATCAAAAATTTGTTCAAAAATGTAAAAAAGAGATTATAGAGTTTTTCCAGATAAATAATAATAGAGATACGTCGATGGAAATAATATGGGATGCATTTAAAGCGTATATGAGAGGTCGCTTTATAAATCAAAGTGCATGGAAAACCAAACAAAGGAAGAAGGAATACGATCAAATATCTAAAATTAGGTTACAAGAAAATGTCATGAAAAACACAACAGATACTAAGATTGCAAAAGCAAAATTAAATCTTCTACATCATAAAATGAATTTACTATTGAATTATGAGATAGGGCAAAAATTGAGTATACTAAACAATATTAATTTGAAAACAAACAAGCCAAATAGATGGTTAGCGTATAAAGTAAGAAAAGAAAGAGAAAAGCGTCTGATAATTAAATTACAGAATGATAAAAATGAAGAAAAATGCAATCTACAAGATCTTAAAAATATAGTGGAAAATGTTTACAAAAAACTATATCAACGAGATATGCAAGATGAAGATCTAATGATAAAATATTTGATGGAAAAGTCTAAAAAATTTAACAAACAACATAGGAAAATTTTGAATGATCCAATAACAATGTGTGAGATAACGGAAGCAATTAAAAGACAGAAAAAGAGAAGGCTCCAGGTCCGGATGGTATTTTGGCAGAATTTTACCAAATTTTTGAAGAGCAGATTTGCATACTGTTTAAGGAATTATTACAGAGGGTAGGACAGCATAAAAAAATTCCCGACTCATGGAATCATGCATTAATTACATTAATTTCTAAACCTAATTCAGATCAAAGTGATATTAAGAACTATAGGCCTATATCTCTGTTGAATGTGGATTATAAAATATTTGCTAGTATCTTGGCAAGCAGATTAAAGAAAGTATTATCTCAAACAATACATCAAGACCAGATGGGTTTTCTGCCTAGGAGGCAAATGAAGAATAATTTACGAATAATAATAGATGTGTTAGAGTACTATGAAGAGCATCCAGAAAAAGAATGAGAGGTCGCTTTATAAATCAAAGTAAACGCTTTTGATAACTTATCATGGAATTTCTTATTACAGAAATTGAAGAGAGCGGATTGTGGTCAAAATTTCTTCACTATGGTCAAAGTTGTTTATAAAATGCAATATACAAAAATAATAGTAAATGGAGATCTAACCAATAATATAGAAATACAGAAAGGTTCTAGACAAGGCTGTCCACTTTCGCCATTGTTGTTCATTTATGCCTTAGAGTTCTTAAATGATGCTATAAGAAAAAATACACAGATAAAAGGCTTAAAAGTAAAAGGGGAAGAATATAATCTATTGGCCTTCGCAGACGACTTAGTGTTCATCCTAGAGAAACCAGAAACGTCAATTATGTGTTTAATGGATACTATCAAAAATATGGATATGTGGCAGGATTGAGGATAAACTATAAAAAATCTAAGTTGTTAGTAAAAAACTGTCTGCCAAGGACTCAACAATTTATACAAGATCTAATGTCCATGGAAGTGGTTAAGAAAGTAAAGTATCTCGGAATTAATTTAACAAATAAATGTAGCTCTCTAATAGAGGATAACTATTATAAATTGTTGAAAGAAATTAAAATAGATTTGCTAAAATGGAAAAATATTCCTTTATCATTCATGGGCAGAATAGCGTTGTTAAAGATGAATATATTGCCAAGATTTTTATTTTTAGGTTAAAGTATACAGAGCTTAAAAACCAGACTTTTTTGAAGAATTAAATAAAATCACAAGACAATTTATATGGCAATATAAGAGACCTAGAATAAAATGGAAAATCTTGCAAGATAGAAAGGAAAGGGGGGAATGAATATCCCTAACTGGTACATATATTATCAAGCGGCCGCCCTGGGATGTATAAAAGAATGGCTTACTTTGGAAAATAATAGGACTCTTGTGTTAGAAGGACATGACTTGTATATGGGGTGGCACACGTATATATGGTACGGAAAAGATCAATTATATTCAAACTTTGGAAGACATATGTTAAGAGGAGCATTGAATAAAATCTGGAGTAATATAAAAGAGAAATTTTACAGGAAAACTCCAAGATGGGTTGCTCCCCTGGAAGCATTTATTAGTCCATCTTTAATAACGACAAATAAGAAAGAAAGCTATCGTATTCTGCTAAATAGAAATAATAAATTAAAATCAGAGGAAAAATTATTACAGAAATATAAGCTATCCTGGTGGGAACAAATAATGTTACAAGACAGATATAAAAAAGATATGTTAAGAGGTTTTGAAGATCAAAATAATGAATTGGATAAGATCTGGTTGTCCTCAAATGATAAACTAATACAGAAGCTCTATAGGTTTTTGTTGGATGATTATGAACAAGATGAAATAATTAAAAATGAATAAGGGGACATGTTACTATATGTGGTGGATGTGTAGTAAGATACAAGGCTATTGGAAGATGGTTTGGAAGGTAATCCAAGAAATCCTGGAGAAAAATCTAGTTTTAAAACCTGAAATATATTTGTTAAATATGATCCCGAATGGATATAATTTGTAAGAAACATATATATTGTCATATATATTAACCGCTGCGTGTTTGTTACTGGCTAAAAACCGGAAATCAGATATAATACCCTCTAGAGAAGAATTAACACTCAAAATATTGGAATTAGTGCAAATGGATGACTTGAGTTTGATGCTTCAAAACAAAAATGAAAAGGTGTATGATATGAGATGGTTAAAGGTGTATAAATGGATAGAAGATTCATTTAATGTATAAGACTCTACCATATGTGGAAAATGTTCAGATGGAATGTAATATATGCAGAAAACTGAAAATAAAAGTTATTTAAAAAAGAAAGCTCTTCAGAGGTTCTTCACTTTCCCTTTAGTTCCAATGTGCAAATCTTGTGGCTGTTTTCCCAAAATGGTGACAAACACCTGCATAGCTGTTACTCCTATAACAAATTATCTTTCCCCTTATGTGCAGATGGGGTATAGAGCTATGAGGGACTTCTGGGAGCATCACTCAAAGGCTAAAGCACATTTTGAAATGCTTTGCCTGATTATATGGAAAAGCCTCTATTGCCACTGGTTTTGAAATTGACGTGTAAAACTGCCTTTGGGAAAAGGCAGAAACTTTTCACAAGCATTGGCCACGGAATCACCAAGAGCTGCATTTGCGAGTGACCTGAGAGACTCTGCATCCTTGTCTCTGAGCCTGCTTTGGGCAAGCCCTGCCTGGCCAACCAACTCTCCTATATGCCAGCTGGAGGCGTGGAACACTGGGGGCAGTCCCAGAGCTCAAGGCTTCTGTTCTAGCCTGACCCCTCCCTATTTGGCCAGCTGCCATGGAGCATTCCCCCTCAGCTCTTTTTTGGTTTTCCTCCCACCCTTCCTGGGTTTGGGCTATTATGGGTTTGCATTTGGTTTACTTGGTGTTTGTTTTCACTGCATTTTGTCATAGCTTCGGTGGGCAGTTTGGGCGCTGGGATGGATTCAATGGAGGGAAGGCTGTGCCTGCGTGCCCCCCCTGTTTGGGGACTCCTGTAAGTGGTCTTGGGGGTGGAGCCACTGAGCTGCATGACCAGGCAGGGGCTGTTGGCTGGCTATCACCTCCAGGTGGCAAGGGAACCACACAGCGGCTGCCCTCCAAATGGCATCCCAGGGTTTGCCACTCCTCATTTTACTCCCCCAGCAGGTGGGCTGGAGGGATGGGGTTATACTGGGCGGCAGGCTGGTCACCTGCTGCTGGATCCATCCCCAGACTATGTCAATGCTTCTTCTGCTGTATTCAAGAAAAGCTGTGGCCTATTTCCCCCCAGTTCTGTCTGTATGGTGTCTTTGCCTCCCTGCCCTCACTTCTGCCCTTGCCCCATCAGATTGCTACCACCTATATTTTCTTATTACTGCATAAAATAAATTGAACTCTTACTTGATTTATTTCACTTTCTATTGCAGCTGCACTCTTAGTGTCACTCTGGAGCAGGCTATGATTCTTGCTCGGAGTCATGGCCTACCTCCTCGATACATCCTACAAGCTACAGACGTGATACGCAAACAAGTAAGCCTTAGATACATATATGTATATATTTATAATATATTAACTTTTCTCCATCCAAGACCTGTTTCCTCAGTGGAATTATTTATTTCTATTTTTATTTATTGCTACATTTGCACTCTGCCTTTCTGCAACTATTTATTTATTTAAACCATCTTTATGCTGCCTTTCTACCCAACTTAGGGTCCCCAAGGTGGCAAAGAATGGTGGTAGTGGAAACTGCCATCAAGTTGCGACTGATGTATGGCAACCCCCATGGGGTTTTCAATGCAAATAAACACTTAAAAACAACAATTGAATGAAACACGTAAACAATTAAACCAGAGTATTCAGGATAGAATTATTCTTCTTTCAAGACAGTGCTGTCATTTTCAAATGTAAGGAACTGTGGAATGTGAAGATTTGGCAGGTGTGTGCCTAAGAATCCAGTTCAAGTGTTGAATTCCAGCACACAACTGGAGTTGAAGTGGGAGCTAGGGTAATAGCAAGGGAGTGTTAATTCATGTGCGAAGCACAAGCTAAGGGGCAAGTATTTAGTTGACCCAGCATGTGTAGAGTCAATTCAATGAAGTGAAGACAGAATCCCTGTTGGGTAGCACAGCTCTTGTGTATATCAGACCTTTCATATCCAAAAGGCTGGATCGGGGCATACTTACTGTGGACACAGAAGATTTTAAAAAAATATTCCTGCAATTGTCATATGATGTTCATATATTACTCCAATTTTGTGGTGTTTCAATCTCAAATTTCCATGAACAGTTTAGTCTCTAAATGAATTAGTAATATACTAAAAGCAGTAAATTAGTAGAATGAATCAAAATGTAATTGTAGTTGAACAGCAGAACTTTGAAACTTTCCCACAATTTGTTGTTTTCTTTTGAATTCGGGGGGCAGGTTTCCCACTGTAGCATGAGACTTCCTGGCATCCCCATTTACTGTTGGTGGTTTGAAGGCTGCTGGGAGACAAATGGGGGATCCCACCAGTGTCTTATGGGTGTACTATGTCACTTCCAGTGAAAAAATAGAAGTGACATTATGACATCAGGATGAACCTCTAGGATTTACCCAAAACTTTATGGTTTAACCCCTCATGTCATGATGTCAATTTTGGTTTTCACCAGAAGTGATGTTGCATGCCTGTCCCCCCTCCATTTTGAATGTATTTAAAGTTATAATTTATTGCCTGTTGTGTTACCGTGTTCTTCACTGCATTAAAAAGATATATATATATATATAAAAGATATATATATTCTTTTTTATGTGAGTAAAAGCTATTACACTAAAAAAAACTTGAATCATTTGAAAATTGCAGGGCAGGTACCTGCTTCTCTCATTTCATTAATTCTGATTAATTTATGTGCATCTGTTTTTGTCTAGACTTATTCAATTTCCATATCTGAATTGAGCTCAATACCAGCCATGAATTAAATTTTGTGATGGAAAAATTGTCTCAAGGTTGTTCACTGAGATTATGTAGGGATGCTCAGAAATTACAATTTTAATGTAATTTAACAATGAAGTTTAGGGGCATAGGGAAACAGAAGCATACAGAAATATATCTAAAGGGAACAGAAAGAAAAGGGCAAGTTTTCATTCTTAGTCTTCTCTACCTTGCAGTTTTTCCTACAAATATGGTATATCTTTTGAATTTTTAAAGGTTTTATGAAGGAACATCATGGATAGCATTGGCTAAAATATTTTAGTTTATTCTTTAAATCTGACACATGCAGAGAGAAAGTTCATAACTCAAATAAGTTTGGTGCAGTGGTTCAGTGCATGGACTCTAATCTGGGAGAACTGGGTTTGATTCCCCACTCCTCCACATACAGCTGCTGGATGACTATGGGCAAGCCATAGTTCTGTCAGAGCTGTTATTGAAAGTGCAGGTCTCGAAAGAGCTCTCTCAGCCCTACCTACCTCACAGGGTGTCTGTTTTGGGGAGGGGAAGGGAAATCACTTGTGGGCCTTCAAAATCACTTGTGGGCCTTCACATCTGTTTTTGCACTGTATCACAAATTTTTGAAGACTTGTTTGAGCTGAAAAAAGCCCATGCCCTCATCAGAGACCCATGGCCCTGATATCATTTTCTTTAAAAAGTTAAATGCAGTTTAGCATTCCTACTACACTTAATCATGGTAGTAAAAGGCCAGTGGATGAAAACGAAGAGACTCAAGAAAGGTCTACTAGCCATGGTGACTGAGGGGAGCCTCCATGTTCAGAGGCACTAAACCTCTGAAAGCAGAGCCAGGAGGCAACATCAGGGGAAGGTCTTGGCCTCTATGCCTCTGCCTCCAGAGGTGAGACAGGATGCTGGACTAGATGGACCACTGGTCTTATCCAGCAGGGCTCTTCCTATAGTCTTATGTACCCACTTAAATCTCTAAATTTAAGAATTTACTTCTAGGAGCTGGGAAATCTCATCAAAGTAACTACAGGAAATTGATGCTTAGGGATGGACATGAACCAGCTCATGAACCAAAATCTGGGCCAAACCTGGGCCAGTTCGGAGCTTGGGAACTGATATGTGGGGAAGGCGCATTCCCTGAACTTTTACCAGACTTTTGGCTGGTTCAGCTGTTCAGGGCCAAATGTTTAACCTTTCGGTCCCCCCCCCTTTGAAGGGGTGGGGAGCATAACTGAAGGGTTAAATGGCTGGCAGTGATTTAAACCTGAAAGAATAGCAAAGGCAACAAAACACAACCTGAAGGACAAGTCAGGTACTCAAAAGCTTAAGTGTAGCAAACTTTTAAAAATGGAACAAAATATTTATTACACAGTATATCAATTAGCAGTTAAAAACATTATACAGACATATAAAATAAAAGTATCACATAAAGCAGCCTATTGGACTTGCATGTCTAATAATCATAAAGTCACACAAGTGAATATTTCATGAAAAGCCACTAGACCAGATGCGTTTCAGCCATGAAGGCCTTCTTCAGTGGCCTAAAACCGTATTGCTTATGCATAAAACATGAAATATCATTTAAGGGCCAGGCAGGTTTGAAATATTTGCTATAGGTGGGGGCTCCAAATAAAAACAGGCCTGTATATAATTCTGTCACTGAGATGACAGAAACTTGGCCAGAGACAGATAAATTGGTGAGAGACATCATCTTCCTTGTAGGCCGGCTCACAATTATATAGCAAGCTGCAGCCAGGAAAAAGGGGGAACCAAAATTTTAGTTTGGGTGGGGCCATTCGATTCCATTAAGGGTTTTGTTTGAACCGAACCACCTTTTTTATGTTTGTGCCCATCCCTTTTCGTGATTTATGTTGACTATCTCTCCCTTATATATGAAGCCATAGTGGGCTCCAACGTTCCAAATGCACACCTTTAGTGTTTGGCCGCAAGAACTGTCAGTCAGAAGACGCTGGCTGGGTTGACTGGCTGCTTTGTGCAGTCCCGTTCAGTGTTTCAAGGTCTTTTGCATATGGAAGCTGATTGGACTTCACTCCATTCCACACCTCAAACTCCCCCCCCCAAGTCAGTTGGAATTGTCAGTTTCATATGGAACTAAGGTAAAATATGTCCTCACTCACAACACATCACTTCCCCTTCAAAAGAAACAAACCCAATAACACAATCATGCCACATCACAAAGAAGACAGATCACAGCACAAGCAGAATACCACAAGGCAAAAAATGATAGGAAAAGGTGCCAGCAGTCACCCCATTACTGCCACAGAGAGCGCTTCAGAGGATGGTGTGCAGGTCCCAGGTTCATGTTTTAAAAGCTGCCTGGGGGATTATGGACCATTCACACACTTTCAACCTTAACATACCTCATAGGGTAGTTGTGCGGATAATACGGGGGAGAGGAGAATGATGTCAGCTGCTTTGGTTCCCACTGCAGGGAAAGACTGCCCTTTAGGCAGAGGCTGGGGGGGGGATGTAAACCTGAAGACAGACAGGCAGATAAAGGTAGGCTGATGGTTGCCTGGAAAGGACATAGGGTTCCCAACTCCAGGTTGGAAACTTCCAGGATATTTTAGGGATGCAGCCTGCTGTGGGTGGGGTCTGAGGAGGAGGAGGAAGAGGGGGACCTCAGACAGATAC